TATAATGTTGTAGGGTAGCAATTATGGGAGGTGCCAATAGGAGCAGGCCTTTAGCCCAAGAGAAATTAATATGACCCGTTTAGATCATGTGTGGTAGGCGCACAAGTTTATCATGGGCTAGCGCAGAGACGATTGTCTGATTGTGATCAAGTGATCCCCTGAGGTAAACTTAGGGGCGTTGATCTAAGTAAACGCAAGAGACGACCGTGATGAGTGATTGATTGAGGGAGTATGTGGAATGTATCGCGGGGAATCATTGTCTAGTGGCCCAATCACACGGCTTGCAAGTGGCCATGTGTCGCGAATCTAAGTGGCAAGAGGGAGAGTATACTTTTTTTGTTTTTTTTTTCCATTTTCTTATTCATTTTCAATCGACCTCCTTCTATCCACCCCCTCGTCTTCTCTCTGACTCTCTCGTTTTCTCCTACCTCTCCAACCAAACACCCCGCCGGAAAATGCCGCTACGGTGGCGTCATCACCAACCCCGCCATAAACCACCACTAATCTAACTCTAACATTATTAGAAACCCAAATTTAAGTCCCCAAACCACATGCATCTATATAGAATCAAAAGCTAAGTGCAGTACCAACCTTTATCCGCCGTAAAACTTCTCGTTTTCCTCGTTCGATTTGCGATCTTCTTTGTATAACCACCTTCTTTCTCTTTGTTTTGCAGGTACCAGGAGCGGGAAAAATGATGAATGCGACAACAGTTTAAGGATCTAGGGTTTCAGTTTTGAAACCCAAATCTTGCTTGAAGAGACATTGATGTGGATCCTCATGGCAGAAGATTCAAGCAAGAGGATTCTAAAATTCGCCTTCTACTCATTCTCCTTCTTTTCCTCTCTCCCTTCTTAATCATTAGAATTTTAGGGTTTTTATAGGCTTAGATTATAGATGAATTAGGAAATTATTCTGATTTGCAGTTACAAATTGTTAAGATCGATTTTGTGATTGAAGATTGATTTAGTTTAGGATTTCGTTGTAAATTAGAAATTTGATTCATATTTGATTGTGATTTTATTTGTAAATTAGATTAGGGTTTTAAACTTATATCTAGATAATTTTGTGTTATAAATTCAATCAATAAAAAAATGATTTCGTTGGATCCTGGAAATTCATTTTTCCGGGCTTAGGTTGCACAAGGATGAAGGAGAACAATAACAAGTCGCCGCTAGATTAGGGTTTCTAAACCCTTTCAGTTGACTTCGGTTAAAAAAGCCCTAAGTTGATAATAAATAAAAATAATAAATAATAATAATAATAATAATGTTAAAAAAACATATTCTAAAATAATTAAAAGAAAAGATTAAAAAACCCTTTGTAAATGGAGGTTGACTCCAGTCAACTCTTATAAATACTTAATTCTAATAATAATAATAATTGACTTTACCAAATAACTAACTATTTTAGCAATAATCGTAGTTATGATCATTATCAAATTAAAATTGGCATAGTTGACTTGATCAATCAAAAATAGGTAAACACTAAATAAACTCCTCTTTTTGAATGAAATGGGCCTCTAGAATGGGCTTAGCAATTTTGAATACTAAGCCCACTGATTTAATAAATACCCCACCCTATTATGGACTTAAATAACCTTAATACAAAATTTTATAGTTATGACTAATACAATATTATAATTTTAAACAATCAATACTAATAAGAAAATGATCATCTGAAATAAATCGACCATTAACCCCATTAAGGCAATTTTGGGGTATGACACTTATATAGAGAACCACGAAATAGTCGTTGGAGAAATCATCTTACACAAGTGAGTCTTTGAGAGAAGCATTAACATATCCGTTGCAAAGCTTCCTGATATGGTAATGCTGTTGCAATGCCTTTTGAAAATCTTTTACTACAAAAGGAATTATCAGTTACAATTCTTCAGATTTTTGCAACTTTCTGCTAAGTCTTCACTTGACCAGAAGAAGATAAATTAACCTCAAAGTCTAATAGCGTCTTGTCAGAAGTTCCTTGGTTCTTGAGCTTTGACTGGCTTCAGGTTCTGATCCTCCAAAGTCCGAGTCTTAACTTCTGATCCTTCATACTTTGAGTCTTTAGAGGTTGACTTGATCTTTAGATGATGGCCTGATCATTAAAAATTGACTTAATCAGAAACTAGTTCTTTAGAGTTTGATTTTCAGAATCTGCCTCTTTTAGAGATTCTCTTTGAATGTTCATTGCAGTATCAAAATTGACTTTCAATCAATATAATAATCTTTGTACATGCATACTTGAACACACATTAGTTTATCCAATTTTTCTTTAAATACTTTGTTATCATCAAAATCTAAGGGATATGATATAAACCAATTTTTTCCAACACTTGATCGATTAACAGTTAGGGTTAATCGATTAAATCATTAAAAAGACCCATGGATCTTTTTCATTTTTGAGCCAAATCTTTTTCTATAAAAAAGAGACTTTTCCTCATTTCAACACATATGGAAAATCTGAATGGAAATTTCCCTTCTTCTTGTTTTACTCTCTTTATTCTTAAATTACTTCTTCACGAGAATAACCATAGTATCAAAAATCTAAAAAGTCCTTGCTAAAGTTTTGTTGTTATATGTGTTGTGTTTTATTCGATTAATTCAAGAGTATAACACTTTTGTGGGCTATATTTGTAAAAGACTAAAGTTCAAGTTAAACTTGACAAAATCTTAGTTGTAGGTTCTTGAGTTTGTTTTATGTTAAAAAATTTGTTTGGTTCTTGAGCTTAGACTAATAAAAGCTCTTGTTTAGTTTAGAGATCAATATGTCGAAGATCTCTTGTTTGGTTTGTAGGTTATCAAGTGCATAATCTATTGTTTGGTCGTAAGAAAGTTCGTGGGCAACTTGTGAAAAACTCAAGTCTCTTTTTAGTAGAATTTTCAAGAGGAGACTCTTAGAGATAGAAGTATATACCAAAAGGGTATGTTGAACCTGTATAAATCTATGGTGCACTATTTCTAACTCTATATCTTAATTTTGTGTTATTTACTTTTATTTATTTTTCTTGTTCTTCTCCTTCTTATTCTTCCCAATTGTTTATCTCTGTTTAACTAACATAAATACTTTTAACAAAGAAATTTTAAAATAATCTTGATTTATTGATAAGATAATTCACCTCCTTCTTATATTATGAGCCACTTGGTCAACAAAGATAACAGTGAAAGGCTTGTAGATACAAAGGTCTATAAACAAATTATGGGACGTCTTATGTTCTTCATTGTCATTAAGTCTGATATGCCCTATTTTATTTTCTTGATAGCAAGATACATGGAAAGACTCACAAAATACATATTGCTATCATAAAGAAGATTCTCAGACCCTTGAAGGGAACCATGAGCTACGAAACTTTGTATGAGAAAAGAAAATTATGAAAATATTTGTGATGGTCTAATTCTGGTTATGCCGATGACTTTTATAAAAAGAAAAAACACAACACTATGTGTTCAACCTCGAACGAGAGACATTATCTTGGTCTTCAAAGAAACATTTTATTGTGATACTCTTAACCACATAAACAAAGTTTCTTAACGCACCATCATGTAACTGACAATGGATTTGGCTCAGAAGAATCACTGAAATTGAAACAAAAACAAGAGTATGGCAAGAAATGCAAACCAATTTATATTTTGCTACATTATTGCATTGTTGTATACAAGATCAATCATCTAACAAAATTACCAACCTATTACTTTGTTGTATACAAGATTAATTTGCTAACTTATGCATGTGTTATTTAAAAAATGTAAACTGAATTTTGACATTATTGAGTTTGACATTACTGAGTTTAAGCAAGGATCTATTAGAAATTTCATTGATATTTCTATGTTCTGTATTATATTTTTGTCTATTTTTTTTTAATATTAATTATTTATAAATATTAATAATTTATTTAAATTAATATATAAATATAAATAAATATTATTGTTAAAAATTGAATACTAAATTATTAATTTACATAATTTAATTCAATTATCACATATTAATTGAATGTTATGATAATTTTTTTGGTATAATTTGAATATCCTCTTTACATAATTGTTGAGATTAATTTTTTAAATCAGAAAAAATTATAATAAATAATACTATTTTTAAATTAAAAAAAAAATTAACACTTCTGCGTATTTGTAGATGAATTTGAATCAAAATCTTCTACTATTTTTGATTAAAAAAAAGTTTAATTATAATTTTAGTCTTCTTATTTAATTTCTTTCTTGATTTTGATCCCTCTATTTTAGAAATCACCATTTTAATTCTCTTTTTTAAATTTCTTTTGAAATCCGTCCTCCCATTTTAAAAATTATAATTTTAGTTTATTTTTTAAGTTTTGAATTATAATTTTAATCTTATTTTTAACTTTTATTTTGAATTTTAATCTCTTTTTCATCATCACTAAAATTAAAAAAGAGATTAAAATTGCAACTTAAAATTTAAAAATAGACCAAAATCATAGCTTTTAAAATAAGAGAATGAAAATTAAAAAAAACATAAAAAAAATTAAAATAGTAATTTTTAAAATAGAGAATAAAAATCAAAAAATAAATAAATTGAAAAACCAGTTACAATTAAGCCCAAAAAAAAACCTACAACTTCTAAAAAAAAATAAAAAATAATAAAAGTAGTTAAAGTTCAGCACAAGAGAAGAGAGAGACTGCTTTTTCCATCTCACTTTATTCTCTCTCTCTCTCTCTCATCAAAATAAATGTTGTAGAATTTTCTCTTTCCTGGAAGACCAGCTTCCTTCATTCTCAAAAATTCTTTTATACTTTGTAACAACTCTAAATATTTTAAATAAAAATTTAATCTTTTCCCTTACTTCTTTGCACCCATTTTTTTTCGATTGTTAAGGTTGTTCCATCATCGTATTTCCTTGTCCCAAAACACTTTTTAAGGTTAAATTTCATCTGGGTCTGTCTTTGTGGATCAGACCCAGATCCTGTTTTTGTCTGATCCATCTATTTTTCTTTATATATTTTTATAGCACATAATCAAGAAGCAATATGAAAAAGGAAAAGCAGGTAACTTTCTTTTACCCTTTTGCTCACTCTAGTTCAATTTACAAGTCAAAGTTTCTGGGTCTTTGTGGTTTCAGTTTTACACAGTTTTTGAAATTGGTTAGTTGGTCTCAATCAACTAGGGTAGTTTTTTATTCTATGTTTAAGTTTGATGTTTATGTCTTTTGTTAAGAATGTTTGGTATTGTGTTGTTTTTGTTTGTTTGTTGTGAATTTGGGGTTTGGTGTAGTTTTGAAGTTTGTAGTGGTTGTGTTTTAGATTTGTTACAAAAATGAAGTACTATTAATGTTGATAAGGAATTTTTCTCTGATTCATGTGGCTTCCTTCAATTAGAATATTATCTTGATATAATTGATTTTGAAATGATTTTGAGATGGTTCTTCTAAAGTAGAATTGATTTTTGTCTGCAAAATGATTTTGACTTTAAACATGACTTTTACAGTGAAATTGGTTGTTCAACTCAATTTTTACATAAATGTATCCAAACATAAATCACTTCACATCCAACTTATAATTATCAAAATCAATTCTACAAAGTCTACTCACTCAGAATCAATTCTCGTCACCGTAGAACCAAACACACACGGGAATGTTTGGTTTCACGTTTGGAGCACCTTGGATTGATTATGGATGTGTAGAATTGATTTTAACATGTTTGGATGCTTTTGAGTAGAATTGATTATGCTTTCCATAATTGATTCTACATGAAGCTAGAACTTGTAGTTTAGATTTTTATACTGAAATTTATTGTTTATCTCACTTCTTTTATAGCAATTTATCCAAACATATATAACTTACATTCAGCTCAGTTTTAAACAGAATCAATTAATTCAAAATCAATTTTTTTCACTGCATAACCAAACACGGTTAATTAAAACTCAATTAATCTCAGAGTCTTGTGATAAAAGTGTTGTTTCTGTATAAGGGATTATTCAGTCTGTGCATTTGATTGGCTTATTGCAGATTGAGTTTGCTGGTTTGTTTGACTTGAAGGAGCATCCATAAGGGCTACAGAACGTGTTTTAACCTTTTTTGTCTGTCGAAGAGATTTGCGGTATGATCAAGCAGATATTAAATAGGCTTCCTAAGAAAGTATCGAAAACGGTGGAAAATAATGAAGGAGGTGGAACATCAACTTCTTCTTCGACTGCGTCAAACAGTGTGAGAAGTAGTTATGGAAACTCAACTGTTTCATCGGTTTCAGGTGTTGATTCCAATTCGAGCCTTGGACTAAATCATGGTGACATGCTTGTACAAGCAACAAACTCGAAACTGAATCTGAATGGTAGTTTGTTGGCTTCTTACGAAGCCTTGCCGAGTTTTCGTGATGTTCCAAATTTAGAGAAGCCGAATTTGTTTATAAAAAAGTTGCAAATGTGCTGTGTTGTATTTGACTATACCGACCCTTCGAAGAACGTTAGAGAAAAAGAGATTAAGCGACAAACGCTAGTTGAACTTGTGGATTATGTTACTTCCGCTAATGGCAAGTTTACGGATATTATGATGCAAGAGATCGTGAAAACGGTGTCGGTAAATTTGTTCCGGACGTTGACTACTCCACCACGCGAGAACAAGATTCTTGAAGCCTTTGATATGGACGAGGAAGAGCCTTCGATGGACCCTGCATGGCCTTACTTGCAAATCGTGTACGAACTTCTTCTTAGGTTTGTCACGTCGCCCGAGACCGATGCAAAGTTAGCGAAAAGATATGTTGATCATTCGTTTGTTCTCAGATTGTTAGACCTTTTTGATTCAGAGGATCCCAGAGAGCGCGATTACTTGAAGACGGTTCTTCATCGAATATACGGGAAGTTTATGGTGCATCGACCGTTCATCAGAAAAGCAATCAACAATATATTCTACCGTTTCATTTTTGAAACCGAGAAACACAACGGCATTGCAGAACTGTTGGAAATTTTGGGAAGTATAATCAATGGATTCGCTCTTCCGTTGAAAGAAGAGCACAAGCTGTTTCTCCTTCGAGCTCTTATTCCTCTTCATAAACCGAAATGCATACCGATGTATCACCAGCAGTTATCTTACTGCATCACACAGTTTGTAGAAAAAGACTGCAAGCTTGCCGATACTGTTATACGCGGATTGTTGAAATATTGGCCGATAACAAATAGTTCTAAGGAGGTTATGTTCCTAGGAGAGCTGGAAGAAGTTTTGGATGCAACACAACCTGCAGAGTTTCAGAAATGTATGGTACTCTTGTTTCGCCAAATACGACGTTGCTTGAGCAGTTCACATTTCCAGGTTCGGTAAACCTAGTAGTTTTCATCAGCTTGCACATTCTTTAGTTTTTCCATGATGCTTTTACAACCAGGCACTGAAAATGGAAATAGAAAGTTTGTACTTGGTGCTGACACCGGAAACACGACACTGACACGTGGACACCAGAATCACAAGTGTCAATGTCAGTTTTTAACACAAACACGTCTCTTTTAAGAGGTGTGATGCTACAGTGATTGTCAATCGCGGGATTGCACAAAATTATAGTTTGTTCAAATTCCGCCATGCTACCTTGCTATAGTGTTACTATAGCCGTTATTTGCAATACTAAGTACTAAATTGCATATTCGCTGAACAAAAGCAGTTTCTTAAAGTCTGCTATGATATAGCACGACAACGCCGCTATATCAGCTAATTGAAAACACTAGCACCTGATTTTTTCCTTAGGAATTGAATAAAATTCACTGAATTTTATTATTGTACTCTATCAAATGATTTGATTGCATCAGAATTTACCACAGGTAGCAGAGAGGGCGTTGTTCTTATGGAATAGTGATCACATTCAAAACTTGATCAAGCAGAACAACAAAGTCATACTTCCCATAGTCTTACCTGCTTTGGAGCAAAATGCACGGAACCACTGGAACCAAGCCGTCCGAAGCTTGACAATAAATGTCAGCAAGATTTTCTTGGACTTTGATCATGCATTCTACGAAGAATGCATGATCAAATTCCGAGAAGATGAAGCGCAAGAGAATGATATGAAGTCAAAATGTGAAGCCAGATGGAAGCGTTTGGAAGAAATGGGAGGCATGAGAGCTCCAACCAACGAACCGGTTTTGGTTTCTACGAAAGCTGCATCGTACGCATCTCCCGGTAAGGCAAGTAGGCCTCAATTGGAATGATCCATGAAGGGTGGAAAATCATGAAAATACAAAAGTACTCCAAATTGGTTTTACAAGCATTGAATGTATATATTCAAAATTGTTTTGGAATTTGCTTTATGTATCTGGTCTTTGAAGTTTGATCTATGAAGTACTGACACGACACAAACACATCTGGTTATATTCCATTTTCTAAAACTATTACTGATGTCAACATGTCAGAGTGTCCATGTTCGTGCTTCATAGAATTTGATGCTACAAAGAATCACGAGATGGCCTGAGTTCCACGAATAATCCACGCATTGATACGATGAAAACATGTTCCATTTCGTGTTTGAAGTTTGTAGTGTTAATTTTGGTTTTTCTTGTGTAGTTGAGTTGGTTGTTCAAGGAAAGTTGATAATTAGGAGTTATCTTGTAATGAATTGTTGATGTCTTATATATATTTTGAAAGCAATTTATTTGTTACTTGCTATTTGTGACACAGAATTCAAGGAGTATTTATATTCTGTTTACCTTTTTTTTTTTTTGAAATCTCAAAAAGTTATAAATATTTGGTTTGAATATATTTTTGCGCCTTCAGTTTTTGTTTGTTACATGTGTACATTACTTCTAATGAGATTCATCATAATCTATCCTCTAGAAAGAGAAAATAAGATTCAATAAATGATATCATTGAATTTGGAAGATTTCTTCTAATATAGTGATCATCAAGTATCTTGGTACACTGAACTATTGAAGCATCTTTTAGGTGTCATGGTGTCTCGCTCTTGTATCCGTTGGTACCTGCTATCAACAATATCCTCTAAGTCAAATACTCAACCTCTGTTTGTGAATATCCCTACCCTTATCTATTTACTAGTGAAGACTGCTTCAAATTTGTGTATCAGTTTGTGGAGATTTTTGGCTCAAAATGAGAGAAAATTCAGGAAAGTAGAAGATTGGGCACAATACGCTAACCACTCCAGGTTGACGATCATCAGATGGATGACGGTCCTTCCGTCAGATAGGGTGACAAGGCTGACGGGCATCAGGCCTCCGACGGTCTGTCCGTCAGGTTGCCAAGGCTTGATTTCTTTGATTTTTTGATTTTTTGCATGACGACTTGACCACCTGGGGGTGACGACTGCCATGCTGTCCGACAGTGTCAGAGCAGCATTTTTATCTGTTTTTCTTCTCGATTTTGCCGTTTTGCACCAATATCTCGCATGAAAAATCATGGGGCTTAAATATCGGAAATACACATGGAATACTAGCATAACACTACGAAAACAAATGAAAATCACACTAATAATGTATGCGAATCAAATCAAAATATATTATGTATTTATGTGTGTTATCATCCGTTCAAATTTTTGGTCTCTTTAATAGCCGTAACTTCGGGTCTCCATCTGACGGACAAACTTCATAAAATATTCTTTACATGATATGTTCTTGTGTAGTTCTTGTCCATGACCCAACTCTAGAAATTAGAGTTTGAAACCAAACAAACATTTGTAATACACTAATTTTTACTCCTAAGATTCCACCTATTATATCATTTGTATATAATCAAAGATTACAAGCATGACATCCTCCCAACCTTTACCCCTTTTGGGTTGACCTTTGTGAGAGATCATCAAGTATCCTTTGTGTTTCTTTTTGCATCTATGCTTGTTTATATTTTAACTTTACTAACCTTATTCAAACTACAAAAATATTTGTTGCTTTATTTTCTTGTTGTACAAGGTAGGACTTGCAATCAAAGGATAAAGCTTGATTTTTAAATTAGGATTTTGGTTTCCAAGGTCAAATTTTTGGTCAACAAGTGGTCCACAAAATTTTTCACTTCAAGGCATGACTTATGATCTTAGGTCATATTAATGTCAAGCGTCATTTAACGTCATTTGATAGAGGGAAGTTCAAATTTGGTGCATATTTTCAAAGTTGATTTAAGTATGGTTTATGTGTTTATTTCCATGTCATCTCCATTCAACTCTCAAGAAATCCTCAAAAAATTTCAAGGGACAATCAATATTCTTTCATTTGGTATTCAAGTGTTCATCATTAGGCCTTTAGATGCAAGAAAATAGAAAAAAAATCACAAGTTGGTACATGTTTGGTTGACCTAAAATCAAGTATGGCATGTCACTTGGTTCAAACACCATGACTCTCTGATTTCTCAATATTTTTGGAATCTACTTCGAGTCAAATGTCACATTTGAACTCCTCTACATATTTGTTTCAAGGGCCAAACATCAATTTTGTCTCAAAGCCCATAAATTTTAGAATTGACTAAGATGTCCATGTGTGCACAAAAGCTGGTCCTTAACTTGATTTGACATATTGCCCAACCTAGAAATCAGGTAATAGCCTGAACTTGTCATCTATGCATTTTCAAATCAAACATCCTTTTGATGTGATTCTTTTTACATTTGATTCTTCATCATAAGGAAATCATTTGGTACCAAGAACATCTCAAAATACACAAGTGAATCTCATTTGGCCTAAGCTCAAACATGGTGTCATAAACTTTACATTTTGCGCATGATCTGAAACCTAAAATCACCAAATCTTCACTTAGGACCACCGGCACATATGCAAACTCATTTGTCCTTGCAAAACGCATAGAGTAAAAAACGATCATATTTCATGCCAAGCTCACGCATTTCACCCTCACTGTCTCATGAAATTGCAAAACAAAAATTTCAACTCCATTCACACGTTCTAGATCAGAGTTTGCATGTACCATAACCTCACTTCATTTTCTATAAATATAGGGTCGTTTTACCTTCATTTGTATGCTTAGAAAGTTACATAACCTCTTCCATTTTCACTCACGAAAAACATCAAAAACTAAATATCACTTTTCTAAATTCCCCTTGTTTTAACTTTAAATCTCTGCACAATCACTCATCGACATCATCTGAAGCTAATTGAACCATTACAGAAGCTTGCAATCTCCTACAACCTTCAACTTGATTTTACCATTGTTAACGTTTTAAGCTTCAACATGAAATGTAAATACGAGTTAAATTTATGAACAAAGAAGTTACCACACTCTTCGTCTTGATTCACTGATCAAAAACTCTCACTTACCTAGAATTTATTCTTCTTATTTGTCATTTAATTTTACTTTAAAGCACTGGGGTTTCTTCGTGTTTCTGAGCAAATTCTCTCTGTTTAGAGCCAATAAATGACTCTAATGCAGAGAGGCATGAACGAGAACATGAATAGAAGCACAAACGTGTGTTGCTTGAGCTTAAAACTAAGAGTTCATGAATTTACAAAAATTATTTCAAGGTTGAAAACGATGAAGTTTGCGCGCGTTCTAGTGGGAAATTTGAATTCCAGCCAATAGGAACACGCCACGTAGCTAGCCTCTAACCATTTTTATTTTCTTTTTGTTTTTAATTCATTTTATTTCCTTTTTCTTTTATGATTTATTTTAAATAGCTCCTTTGACCTTTTTGACTGCAATGTTTTTTCATAAACCACTAAAAATATTTTCTCTCACATATATTTTTTTTCTTCAGATTTTAAAAATTATTTTTAACATTTTTTGCTATTTTCTTTTTAACTTTAATTTAAAAATTAATTTTCATACATTTTGAAATATTTTTCTCTCCAACTTGATCTAATTACTTGTAATATTTCTGAATTTTTCAAAATAAATTGACAATTTATTTGATGTTTTAATGCCTCTTTAAAATTTTCCATTTGATTTTCATTTTAAATCATTTTAATAATAATTTAAATCAATTTTTTAATCATATTTCTTTTTGAATATTTGCTTATTTGGATCGTGACTTGGTTGATCAATGCTTTCATCATTTCAAACTTATCATTTAAATGATCATTTAATCATTTTTTGTATTTTAGATTAATGATAAATTTATCACATTGTATTGTGAACTTGAAAGATTGAAATTGATGATAGATGATCCATTGTTACATTTCAATTGTGTTTACTTATTTCTCCTTCTCCATCTTCTTCTTTTTTTTTTGCTTTTGTTTTACTATTGTGTTAAATTGTTTTAGGAGGATGATTTTGTATCATTCCTCTAACATGTTTAACACATAAATTGTTATTGACCGGTCTCACATAAATGTGAATTCTACATAAGTCCACTTATGATTGCTTAACATATCGCTATATTATTTCGACTCGGTTAATTTCTAATTAACACTAACATTGACATATTAATTGCTCTAACATCTAACTTTTACTTTTATGTTCTTTAATTTTATGCCATTTACATTCTTACTATTTTTATTTTTCCTTTTACTTTATGTCTTTAAATCTATTTGCTTCTATTTATTTATTACTTCAAAAAGAACAAAAATATGATAAAATGGATAAAATTCTAAAAAAATTTCATCTAATCTTGTGGACTTTGTGTTACTATTCCTTGCTTGAGGAGTATTTTGGACTTTGGACTTTAGGATTTAGTGCTTTCTTTTTCTTTGAGTTGTTGTCTCTGAGACTTTGTGGTTTATCTGGACCTTTGAACTTCAATTCAAGACTTAGCCTTGTTCTGAGTTTGATCTTTGCTTGAAGGCTTGAAATTGTCTTTATGGCTCTGTGACCTTGGCTTTCATTTGGATCTTTTGGTGTTCATCTGCTTTCATTACTTGCTCTTGATGATTCATCTGCTTATGTGCTTGCTCATGTGATTTTCTTATCTTATGCCTTAATCCAAAGGGAAAGGAATGTGCTTGCTCAGGTTATTTGCTAATCTTGTGGCTTAAGCATATTCAAACTCTTTTCAAAACTTCTAAAAAAGACAAACCTCGTCAAATTTCTTTTTGTTCCTTTGAGTATTTTTATTTTAAACCTTTTTAAAAGTTTGAATACTGGCCTCTTCTAGCAGTGATGCAAATCTCTATACTTCTATATTATGTTGTGAATTGATTGATATTTTCCACTTGAATGTTGAGACATGCTTGTGAGAAAGTTCAAGTAAAAGTTCTTCATATCAAGATGATACAAATGCTCACTTTCCCATACTTGTGGATAGTAAATTGTGTTTTTCACTCGA